GGGGTGACTGCACACCTGAAGCCCCTTGATCTATTTGTGTCCCCCCCACAGCCTCAGGGCTATTATTTATAAATTGTCCCCAACTTACGGTGGGGACTTTACATTTGTGCTTCGTGATGGTGTGAATGCCTATCCACAGAGCCACTCACTGCCTCTCACTTTGAGTACAGCCCTCAGTGGTTCCATGATATACCAGCACTTGGTTGTAAGGTGGGTTTTGCGTTGGGTTTTGCCCAGGTGCAGGCCGAGGCAGTGTTCCGCGCCCACGTTAGGCAGTAGGGTGTTCGGGAGGTCGGGTGGACTAGAAGCTTTCCACTGACAATATCTTCAGCTCCCAGTGGGTTTATCGGGATGAACCCCACCTGCACTTCCAACTTACTGTCCCCTGCTAGGTGCGTGCTTCGCTGCAGTGATTACACCATGGTCACTGTGGACAGTAGCTAACTCCAGCTGAGGGCTGGCTCCAGCTGTTCCCTTCAGCAGGCCAGGGGAGGCCCGTTGCATCCCACAGACGTGGAGGCTGAGGCATAGAGGGTGGAGGTCAGCGTCAGAGCCGGGACTCAGGCCAGGCACCTGGCTGCGAGGTCCAGGCTCTGGGCCACGCTATCATGAACAAGCCTCCACTTGGCCCCTGCTCAGGCGCTGCCCACAAGGAGGACACCCACTTCCTGGGCATCTTCTGTAGTAGCAACACCCCCTCGGCACCACACCCAGAGCTTGCCGTCCTTTCCTCTTCCTGAAACTGCACACAGTGCTGGCCTCTGGTTTACTCTCTGCCCTCTGAGTCCAGAAGTGCCGATTCCTTTAACTGGAGACTGTCTCCTTTCTTGTTTCCACTTCCCCAGGTCCTAGAGCAGAGCCTAGGATGCAGCAGACACTCCACAAATGGTTGTGAGACAAACAGCCGACAAATCACAGCTGATTGCATGTACTACTGATTGCCTGTATTGATGACCTACTGTGTGCTGGGCCCAGGACCCAGCACTTGGCCATCTCTTTGGAACTCTCACCATCATGCCACTGAACCTGGAGCCTCCCAGAATCTCAGCCATGGGGGTCACACCGGAGCAGGAGGCCTTCATGGCACTCCCTGCTCCCCTCCCCCTCCTCTGGCTGCTGCCTCTCAGCTTTCTTGTGGGCACCTCTCCGTCTGCTTGCCCCCTGCACGGTGGTGCCACTCAACGTCTGGCTAGACCAGGGCTACAGACCAGCCAGCTCCAACCCACGGACAGGCTTGATTTGGCCCACACAGTTTATTTTTTGTATTTGAATTAGTTTTAACATTTAAAAGCTGAGGGATTTTGCTTTTAAAAATATCCAGATTTCTGTCTTGGAAATTTGGAACATCTGGCGATTCTGGTCCCTCTTCCCATCTGGCAAGGGCTGGTTGACACTAAGAGCATCAGCTGTGTGGTCGGAGCCACCCCCACCCGGGGTTCTCATGCACTCCACCAACACCTGTGGACCCTGAGAAGGTGTGGGATTGGTATCCAGCCATGACCTAGGAACACCCAAGGACACTCTGGATAACCACCTGCTCTCCCCAGGAGAAACAGGCCGGAGCAAATCTGGTCAGACAGCACTTCAGGTCTCTCATGCATTAGGATGGATACCTTGGGGCTAATCAATATTAATTAATTGTTAGAGAAATTCTTTAGCATCTTGCCAAATGACTTGTGACAGCAGGCCAGAGTGAAGGGGGGAGAGAGAGAGAGAGAAAGGGGGAAGCGGGGGGAAGGGGAGGAAGGGAGATCCAATCAACCCAAACTTTTGGGGGGGAATGGAGAGGAGTGGTGAGTGTGTGTTTACACACGTGCATGCACACACACATGCCAAATCGTGAAGTAAAATTGTTTCTCCCTGTGGCTTGTCCTACAACTTGAAGGGCCACCATTCTTGATACGATCCACTTGGAGAAGGCGGGTGCAGGGCAGATGGTGGCTGCACAGACATGGGGCCGAAGTGCAATGGAGCCCAGAAGCAATGGGGAGCACTGAGTGTTCTGCAGCTGCAGTCTCCATACGCACCTGGATGGTTCCCAGGTGCTCCCATCAGGGCATTCGGGATTCCGCTGCCTTGGCAGACCTGCTGACCAAGATCCTCCTCTGTGGACACGATGCAGGATCTTGTCCCTGCTGCAGCTTGTAGAACAGGCTAGTCTTACCTCCTCCCCCTCGGGTACAAAAGTTTACACCAAACATTAACAGGTTTATTCCTCTCATTTTAGAGATGGGAAAACAGAGACTCCAAGTTTGGAGATCAAGTGCCTGGGGTCACTTAAGGTGCCACCAGCTGCTGAGCTCAGAACCATCTTTCAGCACCACGCCCTGTGTAGACCATCTGGTTGGGAAGGGTGAGAACATGACTCAAGCCAGCACCGGAGGTGGCTGAGGAGAAAATCCAAGGTAGTGACAATGAGTGCATGTGGAAGACCTGCACCTCCCTGTCTCCTTCACCATCACCACCTCCATCAGTATCATCCACCTTCTCAGCTTTGTCATTATGACCATGATACCCATCACCACCATCATCGCCATCACCACCATCACCATCACCGCCATCACCACCATCACCACCATCATCATCATCATCACCATCATCATCATGACCATCACCATCACCACCTCCATCAGTATCATCCGCCTTCTCAGCTTTGTCATTATGACCATGATACTCATCAACACCACCATCACCATCACCACCATCACCATCATCACCATCACCATCACCACCATCACCACCATCATCACCATCACCACAAATCATCACCATCATCATCATCACCATCACCATCACCACCACCATCATCATCAAGACCATCACCATCACCACCATCATCACCATCACCACCATCATCACCATCATCACCACCATTACCATCATCACCATCATCATGACCATCACCACCACCATCATCATCATCACCATCACCACCATCATCACCATCACCACCATCATCACCACCATTACCATCATCATGACCATCACCACCACCACCATCACCACCATCACCATCATCACCACCACCACCATCACCACCATCACCACTACCACCATCATCACCATCACCACCACCACCATTACCACCACCATTATCATCATCATGACCATCACCACCACTACCATCACCACCATCACCATCATCACCATCACCATCAATATCATCAGCATCACCATCATCATCACCATTACCACCATCATCACCATCACTTTCACCACCATCATCACCACCATCACCATCACCACCATCACCATCATCACCATCATCATTATTACCATCATCGCTATCACTACCATCATCACCATCACCATCAGTATGCTCTTTATTGCTGTGATCAAAATATCTGACAAACAACTTAAAGGAAGACAAACTTGCTTTGGCTCATGGTCTCAAAGGTTCTAGTCCATGGTCAGTCCACTCCATTGCTCTGGGCCTCAGGTAAGGCAGAACATCATGGTGGAAGGATAAATCAGAGGAAAACTGCTCAAGCCATAGCAGCCAGGGAGGAGAGAGAGAGCAAGGAATCAGGCCAGGGACAAGAAGCACCCTTTCAATGTGAACTCCCAGTGACCTGCTTCTGCCCACGGTGCCCCACCGCCTACAGTCTCCACCTCCTCCCAGTAGTCCATTCTGCTGCCAGTGGTTAACCCACTGATGAAGTGAGAGCCCCCATGATTCAGTTGTTTCCCAAAGCCCCACCTCTGAGCACTGCTGCCCTGAGGACCAGTCCCTCCACACATGAGCCTCTGGGGACAGTCACTGTCATCACCATCTCTTATCACCATCACCTTCCCATTACCATTATTTTCTCCCTAGCCCTGTCTTACCAAGCTGAGGCAAAATATAGGGTAGGTAGATCACCAACCTCCTCTCTTCCTCCTGCCCATCTCAGCCACCTCAAGTAAAGACAGATGTGGGGATCTCAAATAAGTCTCCTTCATCATGAAAACCCTTCACACAGCATGTGTTAAGTGTGCCCTCATCTGTAAGGGACACAGGTGTTTGGGTAAAGCCCCCTCCCACTTTTCCTAACCTGCATAAGGACACATATTCTACACACAAACCTCCCTGTGTGTATGGAACACTCCAGGATATATTTAAAACCTGCACATGGTGCAAGGACTCCTGCTGTATGCATAAGGATCCTGTCCACCTGTCTAGGCACCCTGCTTGTCTCTATAGGGACCTCTATAGGGACCTGCTCCACAGCAAGGGAGGACCCTGGGTAAGACTCTGGGAATCTTTGCTTTAGCTTCAACAGTGACACTTGGTTAATGATGCCAGGGTGCCAAGGTCCTCCCCAGGATCTCTATTTCCCCAATATCCACGCAGCACTAGTGGGTTCCTGGGAGGCTCCATGTCCGTAGTGGCTGCACAACAGCTGAGAATACCAAGGGAACAGCTAGGGTGGAGTCCTGCAGCCAGGGAGGGAACCCTCAGTTGGTCTGAAGGAATCCTTAAATTCATGGGCCGCATTCTTATAAGGACAGGAAAGGTGTCTGCAGAGACAGGTGGGGTCTTTAGGCAGGTGGGCAGGGTCCTCAAGTGGATGCCGAGTCCTTGTCCCTGTGCAGGTTTCCAGTACCTTCTGGAGTGGTCCATACCCAGGGAGGTTTGCGTGCAGAAGCTGTGTCCTTGTGCAGCTTTTACCCAGCACAGGCGACCTTTACCGAGAAGTGGGGGTCTTCACGACGAAAGCTGGACATGACCTGTACAACGCTGCGCACACACTAGTGGCCTTTACAGGGACGCGGTCCTTCATAAAGATAAAGGGATCGCTGTCCTCTAGGGTGATATCAGTACCAGGGCCCCTCCACGAGCGAGGACGGCGAAGAGCTCGAGTCTGGCACAGTCCAGCTCTCCCGAGGCCCAGACTTGAGCAGCGCCGCACCTGCTCGCGGCGGCAGGTGGGCGCCGGGGAGGGCGGAGCGCGACGGCCTCCCGCGCCGCAGTGCGCCCCGCGGCCGCCAGGGGCAGCGCCGAGCCGCCCTCCCCCAATCTCCGCCCCCCGCCCTCCCGCTCGGCTCCCCGGGGCCGCAGACCCCGCTCCGCCCGCGCCCCGCTCGGCTCCGCGGCTCCCGCCGTCGCCCGCTGCCCCTCCCGGGGCCATGGGGGCGCCCCCGGGCTACCGGCCCTCCGCCTGGGTGCATCTCCTCCACCAGCTGCCCCGCGCCGACTTCCAGCTCCGCCCGGTGCCCAGCGGCTTCGCGCCCCGGGAGCAGGAATACCAGCAGGTGGGACCCGGCGCGGCCCGGCGGCCCGAGCTCCTGGGTCCCCAGGGAGCAGAGGAGGAGGCTGGGTCAAGGTCCTGCGTCTCCGGGGCTGGGGCGGTCCGGACTTGGGGTACCTGAGGGAGGAGGAGCGAGGGCGCCCATACCTGGAGGCTCCCGGCGCGGGTGCTGGGATCAGCCCCCTGGGAGGGAGGGAGGGAGGGCGGGCCGGGGACCCGGGCCTGGACCCCAAGTCCCGAAAGGGAGCGGGATGGGGCCGCCTGGGTTCCTGGTTCCGGAGACCTGCCTGGGCAGCCGGCCTCCAGGGTCAGCGGAGGGGAGGTCCACTCTTTGGGTCCTAAAAGAGGACCCCGCCCCCATAGGATCACAGCAGGTGACTGTGTCCCAGATAAGGGGGGACCCGAGAGAGCGGACCCGATACCGGTAGAGAGGAGGAAGGTCGCGGGGCGGGGGGGGGGGGGGTGCCTGTTCTGGGGTGGGACTGAGACCCTTAGACAGGGAAGGGGGCTTTCAGGGCCGGGGCAGGGAAATGAGGCGGTGTCGGGAGAGGACGTTTCCAGTCTGCCCGGGACAGGAGGGGCGGGCGGGGGACGCGGACAAGGTGCGGGCAGGGACGAGGTTGGGTTTGGGGAACCCAGGGGCTGATAGACTTGGTCCTGGAGGGTGGGGCTGGTGTGGGAACCTCACTGAGGCCAGGTCCCTCCGGAAGGGAAAAAGAACTATCCCCTGACCCAGTTTGCTTCAAGTGCTTGACTTTGAGATTAATGAGGAGAAAGGCTGTCTGAGCTGGGGACCGGGTGGGGGGCTGGGGGTCCTGGTGCCCCAGCATGGGTCCCAGGCCCTGCCTGTAGGGTCCTGACCACTCCCTCTGCCCTGGTTGCTTCTGGGAAGTGGGTCTGGGGTTGGGAGAGCTTAGGAGGAGTGGGGTTTCCGGAACCTCAGAGAGAGGATGGGAGCTGTGTGTAGCTATTTGGGTCACGGCTGGCACAGCCCTGAGCGGCTCCTCCTTGCCTACTCCACGCCGCCCCCTCTCCCCACCGAAAGGGACCGCCATCCCCTCGCCCACAGCTACATTACACAATCACAACCTCCAGCCCCTCCACCCACACCTGGACCTCCCCATCCACACCGACCCGGGGCTCTGGGGCCTCAGGCACCTCCCTGAGGGCTCAGAGGGGTTCTCTTCACCCCATCCTGTGAGTCAGGTCACTGCTGGGACATGCTGGCACAACCCCCCAGGACATTCTCCTCCCTAGAGAAGACCACCTGGGGCACAGGTGGGCATACCATCAGGGACTCAGAGACACACATCATATACACACACCCCCAGATGTAGACACACACACGCATGTGCACATTAACACATATACACATGTACACATGTACAGACACATGCACATATACACACTCATGTACACACTAAACACACATGGATATATGCACACCCATGCACACAAACACTAGCTCAACATGCACACTTGAATCACACTTACATCCATACACATCCATACTCACACATACCCTCCTGTGTATATACACAAACACATTCACATATGCACACACCTACATGCACACATGTACTAATTCACACTCAACACACTCACATGCACACTTGCTTACGAACTGACACCCTCACATACATCCTCATACACACACACACAAATGTTGACTGTGCCACTCATTCACATACACACATACACACACACACACACACACACACACACACACACACAGATGACATTGAGCCTCCAGACTCAGTGTGAATGCCCACAGGTATCTTCTCACCTGCAGGCCAGGGCACCTCAGTGTGCACACACTTCACACACAGGCATGCTCCAGGATCTGTCTTGTGGCAGTCCAACTCAAAAACAAGCAGCCAGACTCAGCCAGCAACACACACTGCACATGCTGCTCTCCCTCACAGACATACACACCTCCAGTTTAGGGGACAGCCTCAAGAGCAGGGGTTGCTCCTGATCCTGGTGCTGTCCCATGTGCTGTGTGGCTCAAGGCACACCCCGCCCCACCCTGCACCTCCAGGCAGGTGGGATGGCACAGGTTGCTGGAAGCCCTGCCCACTGTGCCAACAGCCCTGCTATTCTGCAAGGTGGCTCCCGCTGTGTCCACCGTCTCTGCCTGCCTCTGGCCTGCCTGCCTCTGGGTCTTGCTGCATCTCTGCCCCATCTCTCTGCTGTTCTCTGTGGTTCTGCCTCCCTCCCTGCCCCCGCCCCCGCATTCTCTGTCCTGTCTCAGACTGGACCCTTGGTCTCGTCTTCTTCGGCCTCATCTCTGCATCTCCCATCTTGTCTGGCTGTGTCTGCCCCCATCTCTGCTCTGCTCTGCCTTCCTCTCCCAATCTCCACCTCTGAGTCTTGTGTGCACTCATGCTGTCACCGAGCACCCCATCCTGCAGTCCCTGGGTGACAGACTCGTGCTGCGGTGGGTGTGTGAGCTCGGCAGCAGGGGAGAGAGCAGAGAGAGGGGGGAGGGAGGCGACTGCCCTGGCACAGGACTAGGCACCCACCCGCCCTGCTCCCACCGTTCCAGGGCAACCTCAGCAGGTCCTCAGGACACAGAGGCTCAGAGAGGGGAGGGCCCTTCTGAAGGTCACGCAGCCATGGAGGACAAAGCAGAGCTGGACGTCCAGCTGAAAGCAACCCAGTCCTAGGTCTCGGAGCCCCAGCTGCCAGCCTGGGGGGTGGCTGGGGACCCCACCTTTCACTTCAAACCTAAATGCCTGACAGGGAGGGGCTCCCAGTCCAGGACACGCCGGTGCCCTCCAAGGCTTCATGTACCCCTTCCCAGGCCCTGTTGCTGGTGGCGGCCGTGGCAGGCCTGGGCTTGGGCCTGAGCCTCGTCTTCATTGCTGTCTACCTCATCCGCTTCTGCTGTTGCCGCCCCCCAGAGCCCCCCGGGGCCAAGAGTACCCCACCAGGCGGAGGCTGTGTCACCTGGAGCTGCGTGGCTGCCCTCCTCGTCGGCTGGTAACGGGGACCCAGGGCAGGTGGGAGAGGGGCAGGGCTTCCCCATGATGGCAGGTCTTCATCAGAGCACAGGGCAGGAGACAGGTGAGACCCTGCCCCCTCACCCTCCGCAGGGAGAACTTCCCTATGCAGCGGATGGAGGAGTGCAGCTTAGAAGGGGAATGACTTTCCCCAGGCAGCCAGCCTGGCAGGAAGTGTAGGTTAAGGGCTTGGGGCTGGTCAGGTGCCTGGTTTCAGTGGCCCTCCCATCCAGGAGCTGAGTGAAGTGATATGATCTCCCTGTGGCTCAGTTTCTGCATCTGTGAAATGGGTTTTACAGTACCACCCACCTTCTGGGGATGGTAAGAGATGGGAGAGTGCACAGGCCGCCCACTGCTGTCCTCAGTAAGTGCTAACTGGCACTAGCGATGCCATTCCTGACTCATTAGCATCCGACAGCTGCTGTGGCCTATCTCCTGTGATGGAAGCAGCCCAGAGCCCTGGCCTGCCCGCAGGGACACAGGCCACGTGATCCCAGCCAGCTCTAATTCCCTCTCAAGGTGGCTGCTGGATCTGGGGTTGTCATGTCCAGTTTGGAAAGAGGAAGGGTCTAGCAGGGAGAGAAGGCCATATTTCAGTGCCACATGTAGGGGCAGGGCGGAGATGACCTCCCAACCTCCAGGAGGGACCCAGGGGCTTCTTCTGAGAACAAGTCCTTTACCAAGAGCCAGCCAGCCCCCTCCCTGGCAGGGTGGAACCCACTAGGCAGGGACAGTGTCCTGCACCCCAGAGGTAGCCCGCGGAGGAGGCTGCTAGGGCGGCTCCCACAGCTCACGAGGGCGTGGCTGAGAGCTGGTCCCCCAGCCCTGGCTCTGCTGGCTTACTTCAGGGAGAAGAGGGTGTCTGATTGGGGGTGTGGGGAGGCTGGGTGTCCTATATCCAAGACAGCTCCTCAGCAGGCTCTCCAGATGGGGGTGGATGGGGGAGGCAGACAAAGGCCCAGTGGGGGAGAGACACGGCCTCAGCCCCCAGGCCTGGGAACAAGAAGGGCTTTGTAGGGCTCTGAACAATGGGGCGGGGGCACTGGGCGCCCATCCCAGGGACGGGTGGGAACTGGGAGGGCCCAGGCTCTCGCCCCTCCACTGTGGGACACTGACTGGGGGCAGGGAATGGGTCTCCAGACACAGACTCCACAATGGAGCTCCGTGTGTTGGCCTGGGGGCACCGGGCAGGGACACCCCAGCTCCTGGCCCGTCCTCCAGCCCCTCCTCCCACATTCCTCTCCTCCCCTGCCAGCAGGCCAGATGCTAGGGTTATTGGGTGGGGTAGGGGAAGGCCAGAGCTCCTCCGTGTCCCTGGGAGAGGATGGTGCTGGGGGAATCCTGCAATCCCAGGAACCCCCAGGGGGCAGGGGCAGAGGGTGTCTGGGCTCTATGGACTCCAGGACGAGCTGAGAAAGCTGGACTCTTGAGGAGGATGGAGATGGGCGTGGGGCAGGTGGTCATTGGGAGGAGAAGATCTCCCACAGTGCTGGGTGTGCCCAGGGTTCTGCTCTGGGGAGGTGTGAGTTAAATCTGGGGGCTCCCTCCCCTCCACCACTCCACCCACCATTAGCATCACAATGACGTCCCTCCAGCTGGGGGAGTGAGGTCTTCTCGTTACCTTGGCAACCGGTGGGGGCCCAGCCTGAGACATTCTTTCCCACGGCTGGCTGGACCAATGGGGTGGGCGAGGAGACGGGATAGGTGGATGAAGAGGTGGGGCAGAGGGGGTACATGTGGGGAGACAGTGGCCCCGAGTGGGGTCCCAGACCCGTTGAGATTTCCTCTCCCTCCTCCCCCTCTCAGTGCTGGCATTGGCATTGGTTTCTATGGCAACAGCGAGACCAGTGATGGGGTGTCCCAGCTCAGCTCGGCACTGCTGCACGCCAACCACACGCTCAGCACCATTGACCACCTGGTGAGGGGGCCAGTGACTGGCCAGATCCCTGACTCACACCCAGACTGGTCCCCCACACAGGAACATGGGACCCTGCACTCAGGGTCAGAGGGACCCAAACACAGACCCCTACCTGAGACTTGGGCTCAGACGGTACCGCAGACAGGGGGCCTCAGGCCATCACTCAGCCCTCCCTGCTGCAAACCTTGTGCCAGATCCAGAGCTGGCCAGGACTAGACCCCAGATTCCCCAGATTCACGTCCTGTTCCAGGCCCAGATCCATCTTGCAGCCCACACCAGAGGCCAAACCCTGGAGTCAGATCCAGGACCCCAGACCTGATCCTTGGCCCAAACGCAAGCCCAGGGACCCAGCCCTGCAGCCCCACCTCCAAACTTAAAGACAAGGGCACTTAGACTAGAGATCCCAGACTCAGGAAGGCAAATGAGCACCTCAGATCTAAGACCCCCAACTTCAGTCCAGTCCTGGAATTTACTCCAGCTCCAGTGACTGACCACCCAGAGCTCCCCTAAGCCACAGAAGCCCTCCCAGACCTCTGTGCTCAGTCCTCAGGTGCCCCAGACCCCTGCCACTGCTTTCTCCTGCCCACCCCCCAGAGCCCCACCCCTTGATCCAGCCCTGGAGGACTTCCTCCCCAGACCCGAGCCCCTCCCTCCCCAGGTGGTAGAGACAGTGGAGAAGCTGGGCGAGGCGGTGAGGACAGAGCTGACCACCCTAGAGGAGGTGCTGGCACAGCGCACAGAGCTGGTGGCGGCCACCCGGGGAGCTCGGCGGCAGGCGGAGGCTGTGGCCCAGCAATTGCAGGGGCTGGCCTTCTGGCAGGGAGTGCCCTTGAGCCCCCTGCAGGTGGCTGAAGATGTGTCCTTTGTGGAGGAGTACAGGTAAGAGGCAGGACCCCCTGTGCAGCAGGAGTTCTCAAGCTGGGACCCCAGGGAACACCAGGCAGTTTCTGGAGTCATTTTGGGTTGTCACAACTGAGGGAAGGGGTGCTCCGGCCACCCAGTGGGTGGAGGCCAGGGAGCTGTTCACCATCCTACCAGGCACAGGCTCCCCAGAAAATCCAGCCCCAAATGTCAATTTGACAAGGCTGAGGAGCCTCAGTGCGTGGAGGGGATTGGGTGACTGGGTCCCACCCTCGCACTCACTATTCCCCCATTGGCCACCACCCCCTCAACCACATCGTCATTTATTCACTCTCAATAAGTCACTCTCGCAACCTGGTTAGGAGCCCACTCCCTCGATCTCCGTATGGCTCGGAGTTCAGCCAGCACGTTTCTTCAGCACCGTGATGAGGGAGGCGGCCCACCTCTGCCATCCTGAGGGCCACTGGTCCCCAGGGCCACTCGCTTGCCCCTGTGCAGGGAACCTCCTGCGGTGCCCCCTCACCGGACTGAGTTAGTATCTGCTGGGTGCTGGGGACGGTCACTGGCACACAGAGAGCACTGGCAGCGGGTCAGTACAGTGCCAACACCCCTGGAGCTGGACAGACAGGAAGTCAGAGGAAGGCCTGCCCTGTCCTCGTCTAGACCAGTAAGAAACAATCGCACAGGCCAAGCACTGTAAGGTGCTGGCTGGGGAGGGCTCTGAGAAAAGTAGATGGGAAAGAGGTTGGGGTGGGGACAGGCTGGTGGTCAGCACCAGAGGGCCCGGGAAGGCCACGTGGAGTAGGTGATGCTGAGGAGGCAGGGACCAGCTGTGCAGACCCCGGGGGCAGCCGCCCTTCCCAGCAGCAAGGAGGATGAGTTCTATTGCTTTGTTCACTAGGATTATTTCCTTCATTGGGGGGAAGGGGCTGAGGTGGGAATGAGGCCCTGGGCTCTGGGTCCTGGGTGCACACACGTGGGGGCTGAACAGGGTGAGCAGGGAATGCTGAGCAGCAGAGGGCAGGAGGCAGGCTGGCGTGGGCTGCAGACCAGGTTAGCATCTCACCAGGCTCAGGGCCCGTGAGCTGGGCCTGGGCTGTTGGAGAGGGTAGCTATGAGGACGTGGCTGGGATTGTTTCCAGGGAACATCTTGGGTTGGACCCTTGTGGAAGTAGCAAAGTGCCCAGCATTCGAGAGTCCCTCGACAACAAGGCAGGGCCCTGGAGGGAGAGTCAGGGGCAAGGGCTGGGAGGGCAGCCTGCGGCTCTGTGGGACGCGAGGAGGAAACCACTTAATCATCTGGTGCTTCCTGTGTGTGGCCCATCTGTGGCCTCCCAGGCCCCACCCAGGCAAGTCCGGTGAATTACTAATGTTTAGCGATCCTTGAACACACTGAAAGCTCCCTCCTTGGCACCCAGGCTACTATTCAGGTGGGTCCACGAGCATGTCCCTCTCTTAGACCAACAACCTTTGCAAGCAAGCCATGCCGTTGTCTCCCAGCACGGCAGGGAAACTGAGGCCAGGAGGTGAAGTCCCAGGAGTTACACAGCCGGTTAGGAGGCGGGCCGGGGTTGAGGCCCAGGTAGCCCCCCATCTATGCACCACACCCCCAAGTTCTGTGGTGAGATCCTTGGTGCTGGTTCCGGTTCTGCAGGGCTGGGTTTGCAGGCTCAGAGAAGCCAAATCAAGTCCATAGTCACAGACCTTGAGTGTGGGCCAGTCAGGGTTGGGTGCCAGGTGTTCACACCCTGGGACCCACCCGTGCTCCAGTGTCCTGTCTACCCAAGCACCCCCTTCACAGATGAGCTGGTGGTGGCTCACGGGCACTGGGAGCAGGGAGGGCACTTGGGCCTCCTCCCAGGCAGGGCTGGGCTGGGGTGCTGCGGGGATGCGGCGGGCCTCCCTGGGTCCACCGCCTCTGCCCTTCGGCCCCCAGGTGGCTGGCCTATGTCCTCCTGCTGCTCCTGGAGCTGCTGGTCTGCCTCTTCACCCTCGTGGGCCTGGCGAAGCAGAGCAAGTGGCTGGTGGTCGTGTGAGTTGGGCAGCCCCGGCTGCTGGCACTTCCCACAGTGGGCATGGGGGGTGCCCCGCATTTCCCTGGCCGTGGGAACTCAGTCTCATGGCTCTAATGTCAGGGACCAGGGTCCTTCCACAGCTAGACATGCAGACAGAGGTGACACCTAGAACAGCCTTGCAATGTGCCACACCATCGGGCACCTTGATCACACCAACAGTACAGATGAGGATGGCCATTGACTTCTATGGAGGGCCACACACTGAGTCCTCCATGGCCACAGTGGCCCCAGGAAGGAGGTACTAGTGGGCTCCAGGAACCTGAGGCAGAAGGCTGCCAAGGGGAGCCGCAGCACCCTGCTCTTAGTTAACACCTAGCTCTTCTTGGCACTTCATGGAACCCTCACCCTCGTCACTGAGGCAGGCTGCGCTCCTTGTTTAACCAGGGAGAGTGAAGCTCAGAGAGGCTGGGCAGCTTGCTCAGAGCCACACAGCCAGGGTGTGCTACCGCTGGCCTTCAAACCCAGTCCGCCTATCATTAGAAGGGCTCTTCATCCTCCCTGCCCCAGCAGGAGTGGGAGAGAGGCCGGGGCTGCAGCTGCCTTCTGCATACCACCATGGCGGAGAGTCCTGCTACCCACTCAGGCCCCCACTGAGCTTGGAGATGGGTGAGACACGGTGAGGCAAGGCAGGCCTTCAGTTCCACACACTGTAGTGCTCTTCTTGCTGCTGACCCTCCACTGACCGGCCTGAGCCCACTCAGGGAGCAGCCAGGTTCACATTTCAATCCAGGAACAATCTCCACTCCTCTGGAGAGACAGGGCTGAAGGGCAGCTGACGGGGCTGTGGGTGACCTGGGCGCAGGCCTGGTCAGCAGGGATACTGGACCTTGCAAAATTCAAAGCCCAGGCAGTTGAGCTCAACAGTGAGCAGTGGCTTCCAGGGTCCCAGGTAAGGTAGGCAGAAACTCTAGGAGGCAGGTTGCTGACCCGCCAGCCCAGACTGCTGGCCGTCTCTACCACACTGGCAGGTGCCAGCTGTTAAATCAGCAAACACTGTCCCCACCACCCCTGCTCCTCCACCCCAGGATCCAGAGCCTGGTGGGGGGAGGGGTGGGCAGCAGTGGGATCTGGTGTGGAGGGGAAGGGCAGGGTGGAGCGGTTGTGAACCCTGAAACCACGCCCTTCCCCACTAGGATGACTGCTATGAGCCTCCTGGTGCTTGTCCTAAGCTGGGGCTCCATGGGCCTCGAGGCAGCCACGGCGGTGGTGAGTTCTGAGGGCTCTACGTTCAGTGGGGTAGGACCCCGAGTCCTGGGGCAGGGGAAGCTTAATGCATTCGGCCCTGAGAGAAAGGGCGTGGAAGACACCATCACAGTTCTGAGATTTGGGGGTGGTTTCCAGGGTCCTGAGAGAATAGAATGAAAGGGTTAGGATTTGGACCCCATGTCTGAGGGAAATGGGCTGGGCCTGGACCCCTGTGTCCGAGGGAGGAGGGCTGGGGGCTGGGGGCTAAGCTCTGTGGACTGTGAAAGTGGCTGTTTCTGGCCTGAGTGCCCCCTGCTCTCTCGCTCAGGGCCTCAGTGACTTCTGCTCCAATCCAGACACCTATGTTCTGAACCTGACCCAGGAGGAGACTGGGCTCAGCTCAGGTGATTCCTATGGTCCCTGCTTTACTAGGCCTCCCTTTGCCCAGGCCTGCCTGGGATGGGTGATGGCCGTCAGCCTGTCCTAGGGAAGCTGAGCATCTGTCCAGGATGCTGTGAAGGCTGGATAAAGATGTTAGGATCAGGAGGAGAAGGGAGATCAGGAGGGGACAGGGGGTCAGGGGCATGGACCTGGGCTCAGGTAAGGACCTGGCTGCTGCAGTCCAGTCAGCTTAGTCTTCTGAGGGTCCCTGAGGTGGGGGTGGACCTTCGGCTTCCCCAAGGAGGGTTCTGGGGCCAGGCTCACCGCCTGCTCCCCTTGCCCCTCCCTTTAGACATCCTGAACTATTACTTCCTGTGCAACCAGGCCATCACCAACCCCTTCCAACAGGTGAGGGCTGAGGACAAGGGAAATGGGCATGGAGGAACCCTGAACGTGGACCCCCAAGGGAGGAGGGCAGGGCTGGGGACTGGATTCCTGAGTTTAAGGGGTGGAGCAGGGTGCTGGGGCCCAGGGTCCTGTGTCCCAAGAGTAGAGAGAGGGACAGGGGTATCACCCACAGGGTCCTCCTTCCTCCTGTCTTCCTGCAGAGGCTGACTCTGTCCCAGAGAGCTCTGGCCAATATCCACTCCCAGCTGCAGGGCCTGGAGCGAGAAGCAGTTCCCCAGTTCCCATCTGCACAGGTCTGCAGACCAAAGAGAAGGAGGGCAGGGTGGGAGGGGCCTGAGCAGCAGAAAGGACAGGTTGGATACATGGGGGGACCCAGAATGCAGAGCTGGGTAGGTCTCTTTGGGGATTGAAAGCATGAGTTGTGGGAGGAGCCTATGTGAAGGGTGTGGCCTGAACCGGCCTCTAGGGGCGGGTTCATGTGCTATGGGCGGAGCCTGTGGAGCTGGGCAGACGTCCTGATGAGTAGGTGGGATAACTACCTCCATTCCCATGGTAGAAGCCTCTGCTGTCCTTGGAGGAGACCCTGAATGTGACAGAGGGAAACTTCCACCAGCTGGTGGCACTGCTACACTGCCGTGGCCTGCACAAGGTGACTCCGCCCCTCCCAGGCCCTCCTCCCCAGGGGAGGTCTCTCAGCCCTCATTCCTCTCCTTGCACACTTCCCACTGCCCCTGAGTGCAGCTCTCTACCCTTCTGCTGCTGGGATGTCCTCATCCATCCACCACAGTTTCCACTGCAGTAGACCTAGCCCCCACCCCAGAAGACACATCCTCCTTGGCCACCTTCTCCCACTCCTGACCTTCCCCTGAGCGGGGACGCCAAGCTCAGGGAACAGGCACGGCCTTCCCAGGAGTGTGCCATGCAATTCTGGGAGGTGCTTACATGAAACCAGGACGTGCTAGGCACCTGACACCTTCGCACCAAAAAACAGGCCCAGGGTGCTGAGTCCATGTGCAACATTGCTAAATAGCTGAGCTGAGACAGGCGGCAGGGTGGCCACTGAGCCCCTGCACTGCTCTCAGGTGGGAACAGGGCTGCAACATGCTTGCTCCTTTGTGAAGGGAGGGAGGAGGATGGTCAGAGCCACTGCCCTCCACTGATGTGCCATGTGACCCTGGGGCCCTGGTTCCTCACACACTAAAATCAGGGACAAGGGACATCAGGGATGAGGAGGAAGGAGGGTGGCTCTGGAGCCCATGTTTGCCCCTTCCAGGCTGTATGACTCTGGGCAAGTGGCTTGTCCCCTGTGGGTTTCCACTGTTTCCTATACTGCCAAAGGCAGCAGCATAATGAGTGTGGGCCCTGCTGGGCAGGGCTGTTTAATGTAAAGGGGAAAGGATGTCCTCGCACCTGACAGGTCCAGGCAGTGCTGCCCTTGACCCTGACGGGCACGCCCACTGCAGGTGTGCAAGGCAGCTCAGGCACACGCTCTTGCTGACTGTCCTCACCTCTGCCTCCCTCTCCCAAGTCCTGCCACCCTGCTTCTGAACCCATCTGGACTCCAGCCACCATTTCATTCAGCTGCCACTGCCACCAGGTTCTGGTCTCCTCACCTCCTGCCCAGTGACCACGGGCACCTCCTTCCTGTCCCCTCTTGCCCACTCCATCTGTCCAACAGCAGCCAACAGCTGGCGATGCTTTCAACACACAATCCGATCAAGGCCTTCCTCCGCTTAAAGCCTCCCGTGATCCCCTCTGCACAAGGATTAAAAGCTGGGCTCCTTGCCCTGGCCTATGAGGGCCTTCGTGGCAGCCTTGGCCACAACTCTCTGGCCTCTGCCCACATCAGCCCAGCTGCCCATCATCTGCCTGGTTCACTCCTGGCCCCTCTGCAGGCCTGACCGCTCCCTTGTGGCCTCCACCCAGGACTGCTTAAACAGCTCACCACCGTCTAAGTGACCTTCTTTGTCCTGTTTCCTGGGGGTCCCCAATACTCGGAGGAGGGCTAGCCCAGAGCACTCAGTCTGCCCCTGCGGAGGAACCTGGGCTGTGCTGCTGGACGTTCAGGGCACGGTAGCTAGTGGGCGCTGTCACACCAGGTGTGATTCAGAGTGTCACTCCAGGTGTTCCCCAGGTGTTCTTCTAAGGTAGTGACTGCAGACCCAGGGGACATTTGACAATGTGAGGAGACGAGTCTGCCTGTACAATTGCAGGAAGGGAGTAGAAGTTGGGGACACTACTCAACATCCCACAGTGCACAGGACAGCCCCACGTTAGAGAACTATCTGGCCCAAAATGCCAACAGTGCCCAGGTTGAGCAATCCTAGGCACAGCTGATGTCCTGAGCTCTGGGTGGCAGGGAGGTAGCCACGCAGGGCCTGCCTGCTAAGGCAGGAGGGAAGGGCAGCTCTTGGGGTGCCAGTGGATATACTGGGCTGGCTGGGTGCAGGGGTTCTGTGGGGAAATGGGATGGGGTGCAGGGCTCGTGCTTGGCCAAGGCTCAGGCTGGGAAGAGGCCTGTGAGCATGAAAGACCATCCTCTGCAGCCCTCTAACAGGGGAGGAAACAGTCACAGATCCTGGGTGATGTGTGCAGAGTATATGGCCAGGCAGACTGACCAGAAATGCAGGGTGCATGCGTGCCCAGTGTGCTCACGCTCACCTGGGCTCTCGTCCCAGGACTACGGTGTGGCGCTGCGCGGCCTGTGTGAAGACGCACTGGAGGGCCTGCTCTTCCTGCTGCTCTTCTCCCTCCTGTCTGCTGGGGCCCTGGCCACCACTCTCTGCAGCCTACCCCGAGCCTGGGCCCTCTTCCCACCCAGGTCAGCAGGGGAGAGAGGGCAGGGTCCTGGGGGAGGGGACAGGAGGCAGCACCCAGGGCCACTGTTGGGGAGGGTGTGGCCTCCTGATGGGTCCCCATCCTGCTTCTCTGCCACTCCCCACCTCATACCCCAGTGACGACTATGAGGACACTGATGACGACGACCCTTTTAACCCTCAGGTACAGACTCTAGCCTGAGGGAGGAGGCTGGGTCTGGTCTGCAAGGTCTGAGGGAGGAGGACTGGGACCTGGGCTCCTGGGTCTGAGGGAGGCGACCCTGGGGACCCACAGTACAAGCCAGGTTCCCACCTCCTGTCCTTTCCCCACCCGGCAGGAATCCAAGCGCTTTGTGCAGTGGCAGTCCTCTATCTGAACCCCTCCTCCCCGCTGGCCTGGAGCCTGCCTCCCCTCGACGGTGAGCTTCCCAATGCCAGGGGATCTGCAGCCTGGCCTTGGTGCTCCCCAAGGTGTCCACATGCTGGGTGGGCGTGCACCAGAGTGGCCTGTGGCCCTCAGCGCCTGGTCTCTGCCTCTCTGCAGCTCCTTCCCTGGCCGCAGGAGGAGACCCCATTAACCTGCCTGACTGGGCTCTGACCACTAACACTGATGGCCACGGACACCCTCCACAGGACTGTCTCCTGCTCTGGCCCCAGTGCCCCCATCTGTCCTCACCTCTGTGGTAGCTGAGGGGGCAGAGCAGGAGCCAGAGCTGGCAGGGGAGGAGGCAGGCAGACACCCAGGCCTCATCTCTGCTGCCAGTCCCATTCACAAAGGGACTGGAATGGGTGCAGGGACCACAGTCTTCCTGCCCCTCCCTACCCCAGGGAGCTCCAGGGCTCTGGTCTCAACTTGTGACACTAACTTGGAAAGGACTGATTTGAAATAAAAAGGAAGACTTTATTTTACAAGCAGCAGGGTCCTTATGTCTCCCAGTCCCAGATTCTGCTCCTCATTGGGCCGGGGAGGACCCTTCCCTGTGGCTGCCAGGTGGTGTTCCTGTCCAAGCTCAGCAGCGGTTCCACCTCTAAAAGCCATAACCACATCCTGACAGGAAAAGAGAACACAGCTAGAAGTAGATTAAGTGTACGTGTGTACACACAACGGAAGACCAACTCCAAGTCCATGTGCAAGCACAATTAACAGTGCCCAGCCAGCTTGCTCTGCATCCAGGCAAAACTTCCTACCCAGACAGACCAGGGTGGGGATCCTACATGTGTGAAGGGACAGAAGTATTTTGAGAGAAATCCGATTATTTTTATGTTGTATATCCAGGTGGTGGTGTTGGGAGAAAAACTTTAATCAAGATAACAGAAGCCCAGAAGGGAAAAGATACCCTATTTGACAAATCATAGTATGAAAACAAAATGCAGTCAAAAAACAAGTTTTTAATCTGGGAAACTCTGTGTGATACATACAGCAAAGAAATACATTATTCTCAACACATGAATATCATCTGCAAAAACTTCTATAGACAACAAAAAGCTCGATTTAAAAATTAGCGACTGAAGCAGGGCGCGGTGGAGCCTATAATCCCAGTGGCTCAGGAAGCTGAGGCAGGAGGATCAAAAGTTCAAAGCCAGCCTCAGCAAAAGTGAAGTGCTAAGCAGCTCGGTGAGACCCTGTCTCTAAATAAAATACAAAATAGAGCTGGGGATGTGGGTCAGCGGTTGAGTGCCTTGAGTTCAATCCCTGGTACCAAAAAGAATAAAAAAGTTAAAACAAAATTAGTAACTGAGACGAACATTCATGAAACAGAACTCCCAACACCATAAACAGGAGACACGTGAAGCAACCAGCAGCTCCACTACTAGCATGAAATTAGAAACGGGTCCTGTCCTGGGCTGCCCAGGAGCTGCAGGAAGAGCATCCAACACACAGTCCAGAGGCTAGAACCACATCCTTTGAAAAAACGTACCCACTGATACAGGAGAAAATCAAAACTGTGTAGACCCCCCCCCCCCCCCCCCCCGCAATCCTGCTTTGGGGAATCAATTTCCAGAAAAAGCAGCACGCGCACCTAAGGATGTGCATCAGCAGCTGCTGGCGGCGACACTGCTTTGACCTGCACAGCAAGGCTCTCTGAAGAAAGCGCTTCAGGGGAAGCTGGTGTCGGACAACCACAGCAGAGGGCCCAAAGGCAAGGGGGGCCCAGGATCAAGGGCCTGGCTGGCCAGGACCTTCCTGTCTTGCTACTCACCCCCCGCAGGGACCTCAGTGGCCTCTTCAAGCAAAAGGGTCTCACAAAGCCGAGACACTCACCTCGGGTCTGACAGGTGCTCTGGGTTAGACCCGCACACAGGGAGCGGGAAAGGCGCTCAACGCACGGAGTCCGGCTCTCGGTGCGGGGACCGCAGGGGGGACGCGGGCGGAGGACGCACGACTCAGTAGGAGCTCTGCCACTTTCCCCATAAATCTGAATAATTATTCCGACGCAAGAAGTCCGGTAAAGTCGAGGTGGCATCTGCCGTGCTAATGCTAACGACAGGACGCGAAGCCTCTAAACGGGATGGCAGGCCGCCGCGGGGCGCCCTCGCCCGGGGGGCTGCCCGGCCTCCGGGGACCCAGCCCCGACGCCCGGCGGCCGACTCCCCCGGAGCGCCGTCCCGCGCCCCCTTCCGGGTGGAGGCTGCCCTCGCACCCTTCCCCCGAGCCCATCCCCGTCTCCCGGGCTCCCACGTCACTGTGCTGTGAATAGTCTCACAGACCTCGTCACTCCGGTCTACTCCTCAGGGAAAACAATGGCTACCACAGGCGGAGTCAAAAAAAAAAAAAAAAGGCTGCGTGCCAGAGTGACGGGCCGGGAAACTCGGCCGCGATTGTTCCCTCGGGGCCACCGTCCCCGCCCAGACTTCCGGCCTGCCGGTCCCAGCCCCCTCGTGCTTGCGTAGGCGGGAGGGCGGGCTCAAGCCCACTGGTGGTGGCCATTGGCTATTCAGGGAAGGGGGCGGGGCGAAGCCGCCGCATGACGTCAGGACGCCACGGTCAAGACGTCGAAGCCAAAGAAGACAGAAGCCAGCCGGGTGGCCGAGCGTTGTCGCGGCCGTAGTACTACCGCCTTGGGCCGCTGCTGACGAGTCCCGGGAGCGAACGGTCCTGGTTGGTGTGGGGAGCGGTGGGAGGGCGGGGACGTTTTCCCTTTGGCTCTGCGCCCCGCGCCCCTGCGGCCTTCTTGGCCGTCGGGCCAACGGACGCCGCGCGAGCGTCGGCAGGGTGTGGCGGCGGCGGGCACTGCGCTTGCGCGCCGCGGGGGTGGGGACTCGCGGAGGCCCCGGGCGCGTGCGCGTCGAATGCGGCGGCCCCAGGCCCTTTGACGGCTGCCGCGCTGCGGGCGACGTTTCCCGGGCAAAGGCGGCGTCCTTCGCCCTCGCAGCTTGCGGGACCGCCAGGTGCCACCAGCGTCATCGCCGGCCTCGCGTCTGCCCCGCACTGTAGCCCGTCTCCAGACCCCAGCCCTCACCCCGATCTACCTCCTCTCCAGTGTCCCACCTGCTTCCACGCAGGTTCTGGGTTTTTTTAATGGCTTCGCCTTTGTAGGACTTTACTCAGCTCCAGGCTCCTGTTTCCGATCCTTCAACTTCTTGTAAGACGGGGTGTCTGATGGGATTCATCTTAGTAGTCAGTTAACCCCTCCAGGAGTTCAGGCCCCTTAGTCCTTGTTTCTTTACTTTTCTCCCGGTATTTCCCACCCGACTCTTAACGATTTTCTTAATATGTTTGGGGCCTCTTTAGTGTTCTCAAAGCATGTCCAGATCCCAACCAAGGGGATCACCCCTTCCGGCCCACGCCTACTCCTGCTTCTAGAAACCTCCAGTGCTGGTCTCTTCTCTGCCCTCAGGGCACCTTCAGAGATCAGCCTTTAGGTGCTTCCTGACAATCTGTTTCCTTACGTTGCGGTCCCCTATGGCATCCTTAGTCTCTGCACGCTTTTCAGGGGAACTTCCAGGAATCATCTTCTCCTTTAGAAATTTCCTCCATTCTCCTGTGTTCTCCCAGGTCCAGGTGCTCCCTCTTTGCAGTGCCCTGAAAGGCTTCCCTCTTTCCAACCTTCTGAGCCTTAGGGTCTCTCAAGCTTTGCTTGTTGGAGTATTCTCCTCCTCCTGTTTCCTCTCAGAACATGTATTCTCTGGAATTCTTTTCAGATCCCCTACCCTTGGCTGAGGTCCCCCATCCCTCCTTTGGGCTTCCCCCTGCCTGTCTCAGGGTTTCCCTCACATCCCCCTTTCCTAATGTGGACTTCAGGCCTTTTTCCTTGGGGGGAACTTCCTTGTTTTCCACCTGGAGCACTCCAGAGAGGCCAGAGCCTTCCGCTCATACTCTAGCTCCTCCATTCCATACCCAGAGTCCCCCTCACATTCTTTACCCCAGTGGTTCCTTCTTTCTCAGATTCCCCTTTTCTGCCTGATTTCTCACGGGGTTCACCTACTTTTCTTGCTCATTTTATGACATGTTTCTTGCTGTTTCTTGAATCTCCCAATTCATTCTTTCTCTCATAGATAGTGAAAAAGCAGTCTGGCTCCCGAGGTCCACCCCTTATACCCCAAGGTCCAGATGGCGGCCAACGTGGGTGATCAACGTAGCACGGATTGGTTAGTGGGGTAGAGGGACAGAGGCCAGCGGGGAGGGACAATGGAAGCAAGGCTCAGGGGTGTCTCCTTGGGTGGGATCTCATACAGCCTGAGGAAAGTGGTATAGCAGTTCCTGGGGTTGGGGTAGGGCACTTCTAGCCCCAAACACAAAGGGACACTACACTCTGGGTTGTAGTGTGGCAAGGCAAGTCTTCCCCTCTGCGCCTTCATTTCAGAGAACTGTTAATTCTTCCAAGTAACTAGGGAGGAGGCAGCCTCTGACACTTAGTACGCAGTCATTGACCTTCTGTTAATTGCTTGTTTTTTTTTTGTTGTTGTTTGTTTTCCAAAAAGCCTTATAACCTGCTGATCATGAGTAGTGTTAGACAGAATCCATCGATTCATAAAACACTGAGGCCTACTAGGTACAAGGCCTATGTTAAATTCTATGATACTGGCTACCCTTTTGTTTAAAAAGCTGTGTGCAAGACCCAGATTAGGCACCTTAAGCAGATGATTGCCTTTCATTCTTCACAGAGATCCCTGAAGCAAAAGCTGGTTATACTCATAGTGTAATTAGAAAATTTAGGGAGCTTAGATATGGGATCCAGGGCCTGTTGTTTGCCCCCTGTCATCTTGTCCAGTTGTGTGCAGTGGGAAAACAAACTGATTCAATGTCCTCTCTCTGTAGGTCCTCTCAATACAGCATGGTGGCTGGCGCCAACAGAGAGAATGGCATGGACACCCCCATGCATGAGAACCCAGAGTGGGAGAAGGCCCGCCAGGCCCTGGCTAGCATCAGCAAAGCAGGAGCTGCCGGCAGCTCCAAGGCCAGCAGCAATGGGCCTGTGGCCAGTGCACAAGTGAGAAGCCACATGCCTGGGAACCCCGTGGGGTTTGCTGTGGGAGGGCCTCTGCCTGGTTTCCACCTGTAGCACTTGGATGGGGTACCCTGAGGGGGCAAAACAGGTGTTTTTCTGTTATCCACATCAGCTGAGGGGGGAAAGGTCTATTTCCTTGAGGCAGCCAGAGCCTGATGTTGCCCTGAAGAGGGAAGTCCTGCTCCTGGTTCAAAGGTGCCAAGTCTGAGAGCAGAGATAAGTTCTCTTTACAGAGATGGGCTTAGTTCCCTCCTTGGCATACACCCATCAGTAAAGAGGCCCGGCTTCCTGGGAGCCATGGTGCCTATGGGCTCCTGCTGCCCAGTGCTCACGGCATGGTGCTCCTGTTTTGCAGTACGTGTCTCAGGCAGAAGCCTCGGCTTTGCAGCAACAGCAGTACTACCAGTGGTACCAGCAATACAACTATGCCTACCCCTACAGCTACTACTATCCCATGGTGAGTGCCCTCTGCAGGGCAGGGCACCTCGTTGTGGGCAAGGGGGGGTTGATAGAGTGGAGAGAACAGGCATGCTGCCCGAAACCCACTAGCTCACAGCCCATGAGGCAAGCCCTGTATGGCCCTCAAGGCCTGCAGGCTCCTGCGTGCCTGGTTCTGACCTCTCCCCTCTTCGAGTTCTGCTTATTGCTGTGAGACCTTGACACGAGCACACACCAAGTCCACCCATGCTTTGCTTTGCTGTAGCTCTCTCCTCTGTGCTTTTCCTGAGGAGGTCTCTGCTTGGGAAGTGTCCTCAGAGAGCTGCTCCCTGCCAGACCATTACCTAGAGCAGGGTTCGCACCTGGGTTGCTTTTCTTTACTCTGTTTTCCTTCGTGATACTACACAGAACATGCTTCGTGTCTGCACCTATCGCTGTGCATGTGTTTAGCACAGGGTTTGTTATAAAGCATGGGTTTTTGCTTTTTATTTCTTTGTCACGGGATTTAGGATTGAGTTGGCAGTGGTGTTTGTTGAATGGAGCTTGTAAGAACTGTCATAAGTGGGACGTGGGATCAAAAGAGGTTTAACTTTTCCTTTGTTTCTTTGACGTATGAGGAAGGATTTGGTGTGTTTGTATAGTGGATAGAACAAGGGTGAGAGATGAGTAGAGAGGCTTAGATTGTGCACAGTTCCCAGCAGACAGGCGGACAAGGACAGCTTGCCATTAACCCTTCCTCCTGTGCCTTTGGCAGAGCATGTACCAGAGCTACGGCTCCCCCTCTCAGTATGGGATGGCCAGCTCCTATGGCTCAGCCACGCCCCAGCAGCCATCGGCACCCCAGCACCAAGGGACTCTGAACCAGGTAACACCATGCCTGGCCAGCTGCCAGGCCGGCTAGAGGAGGGATGTCAGTTTTGAGGGGCCAGCAGTAAAGAGTCTTCTGCTATTTAGGCTGTTCACCATTTCTCTTTTTTTTTTTTTTTTTTGCTGCCACTCAACTCCTGATCTAAGAAGGAGGAGAGCAAAGCATAATTTTGAAATTAGGGTGGGTGTAGGGCTTGGGCAAGGCCAGGGGCTGCAGCATTGGAAGAGGGTGGGAGCTATTTGTCATGTGGCGCCTGTCTTCCCTTTTTCCCAACATGCGTGCACACGCCTGCACACACAGATCTGCATTCTGGCTTTGCATTTAATGTGCAGCTTGGAGGGATGGTGCATGGGAGCCAGATAAACCTTGGTTTGACTCTGGCTCTCTCACCCCCATATGATTTCTTAGAAGCCTTGTGACTCTCATGTCTCAGTCAGCTGTTTGAGGTAGGGAGGGTTCCTGGGAATACTGGTAGTCAAATGGGTCTTAGTTGTGCGAGGTCAGAGACCAGGAGAATGGGGGCTTCCAGTGGCTGTTAATGCTGGGGACTCGCTCTTCAGAGTAGGAACGCTGACAGCTGCCACCCAACAGCTGGGGCCCTAGACACTTGCTCAGGCTCTCCCTCTTCTCAGTCTCCCAGCCGCACCAAGGGTCAGAGCACTCACCCCAGGAGTCACTGGGGATGCGGACTGAGCGCTGAGTTCAGCGAGGGCCCCAGAGTGCCCTCACCTTCAGTTCCTGCTTCCTTCTGCAGCCCCCAGTCCCTGGCATGGACGAAAGCATGGCTTATCAGGCCTCTCCACAGCAGCTGCCTGCAGCCCAGCCCCCTCAGCCCTCCAACCCCCCACATGGGGCCCATTCTCTGAGTAGTGGGCCTCAGCCTGGAACAGCTCCAGCCACACAGCACAGCCAGGCGGGGCCCCCTGCAGGCCAGGCCTATGGGCCACATACCTACAGTGAGCCTACTAAGCCCAAGAAGGGCCAGCAGCTGTGGAACCGCATGAAGCGTAAGTTGGCAAAGCTGTGGGAAGTCTGAGGGTGGCGGGTAGGGACCCTCCTAGAGCTCTGAGCTCCTGGGTGTGAGATGCATAGGGTGCCCCTTGTCTGGGTGTCAGGGTGGTCCTGAGGCTGGGGGGAGCTGC